TATCATATAGATTCATCTCACATCTTTTATACAGAAGAGTTTTAGTTAACTCTTAATCATTTTCATAAGATTCTTATATAATCATTACACAGATTCATCTCACAGATGAATCACTCTCTATAAGATTATTCTCATCAAAGAGAAGTATTCATAAGTTGATCTTTCACTCATTCTTATAAATCATTGTTCTTTAACACTGTAGAATTGTGAGGAATTTTTCATTCTTTTATTAACTCTGTAGAATTGTAGAATCAAGATATTCACAGTCTGCAATCACTCTTTGTAGTTATATAGAAAGATTCAGGCCTGTGATTCACAATCACTTTTATTTACTAGAGTGATCTGACTGTTCTACAGAATCACTCACAGTGTAAGTAAACCTCTCTAGAGTAGTATAAATATCTCAGATCTGTCTGCAGAATTTCATCTTCTTTTCTCTTTTTCTGTAACAGCTCTCATTCTCATAACTATGAGTATTCTCATTTATCTGCAAAGTGTTTTCATTCAGATGATAGAGAGAGAGTGTTTCTAACAATATTTATATATTGATTCAAGAACTTTTCAAGAATAAAAAATTTTTTTAATTTTAATATCTTTATAAACAATGTCTGATCACTGCTGAGCTTCTTATGAATATCTTCATAACTTCTCTAATCACTTTTTATCAGCTGATGAAGTAGAAATACTGCTGCTCACAACTGTATCTTCATTTCTCTCAGTCTTATCACTGCACTCAATCTTCAGATCAGCAGTCAACTCTCTGCCTTCTTCAGATCAGTCTCTGACTTTAAGCAGTGTAGTTCCTCTCTTTGTTATAAGTCTTCTCATAAGTAATTTCTTACAGATTTTAGCTGACAGTTCTTACAAAGCTCTCAGTGTTGTCAGTATCTTCTACAGTCTCACAGGTCTATAATCACTTTTCCTCTGCTTACACAATCTCTGATCAGGTATATGCAAATATGTCTAGATTCTCTATTAATGATTCTTGCACTATGATGCATTTCTGTAATCTCATTATCAATAAGACATGAGTCTTCAGATATCTGTAAAATCTGAATAATCAAGGCAATGCAAATGCCATGAATTCATGACAGAAGTTGATCTGAACAGATGAGCTCTCTCTTCATATCTCAATTGTTTTCAGACTGAATACTTCAGTATAACTGAGAAAGTGAACACAGCTTCATAAGAAGTATCTGATCACACACACAGATGATCAGTCTTCAAGACTCTGCTGTAACTATACATACTCTGATATCTGACTTCTCTGAAGTCTGTACATTTCTGACAGTCTTCATACTAAATATAATAATTATCTGTACTGCAGATATGATACTCTCTGCTTCTTTGAAGAAAAAAATTAATAGTTGTAAGAAAATTGAGTGTTATAGATATTAAGAGTATAAGTGTGAATTTTCTTTGTTTTTTCTTTATTAATCTCTAAATTATGTTCACAGCTCTGTTTGTTATCTTGTTTTTTAACTTTAATAAGAATATGATTTCTTCTTTTCTTATATACACTGCAGACTGTTCATCTCAGTAGAAACTCATTATCTTATAGACTAGAAATTTCAAATAACAGTGTTAATATCTTTATCACAATCAGATTCTTAGTAAAAACTGTATTATTCTGACTTATTAGAATTCATAGTATAAAAGTCATGTCTCAGCTTCTACAGATATCTTATCTATCTGAATGATTCTTAAGTGAACTTATTTATCTTATTAGAATACTCTTATCACTGAATCTTAAATTAGAGCTTGTAATCTCACTTCTCTGAGTTAATAATTTCTTTAATCTGATATTCTCTTTCACTCTCTAGTGCTTTATAGACAGAGTGATAAGTCACAGAATTCTCTTCTAAGAATTTCTTATATTTATAAAGTAAAGAGATATGAAAAACATTATATATCTACAACTCAGATAACAGTTTTAATCTATAGAACTATAAACTAACTTTCTTTATAATCTTGTAAGACTCTATTCATAAGAGATTCAGCTTCTTACTAGATCTCTGCATGATGATATTTTCTAGATTTAGTCAGACTCTATTATCTTTCTTAAAACTCTTTGTAATATGCTTAAAGTCATAGTATCTCTTCTAATACTCTTGAGTCTTTCTCAAGAATTCACAGGCTTTCTCTCAGATCTTCTGAATTCTCTCAGCCTGTTCACAGGCATCATCACACTCTATAGTGTACTCTCACAGATTCATTAAGATTATTTATGAATAAGTCTTAGTAAGCATCTCAAAGAGAGTTTTATCTGTGCTGACATGCTTTGAGTTGTTGTATATAAACTCTGTAAGTGATAATCAATACACTCAGTCATTCTGATTATAATTGACAAAACATTACAGATACTGTTTTAATATACTCATTAGATATTCTATCTGATCATCTGTCTGTTGATGAAAAGTCATACTTAGATCTTATAAGATCTTCAGTATAGTTATCAGATTAGATTAGAACTCTTCTATAAAGATTGATTCTCTATCTGAGATAATGTTTGCAGATAATTCATGCAATCAGATCATATCATGAATAAAGATATAAGTCAAATCCTTTGACTTCAAGTTTTTATAAGTGAGTATAAAGTGTATTATCTTGATGAAGTGATTCACTATCATCAGTATACTGTCAAAGCAGATATCATATATGTTCTTACTTTCAGAGAGACTTACAAGAGTATTCATTTCTAGCTGTTCTCAAGATTTTCATAAGATGAATAGAGAAGTAAGTTCTTTATATAATCTGAACTATACTATCTGTGAACTCTGATAAACAGTATAAGAATTCACTATCTTCTTCACAAGTTCTCACATCTTCAGTCAGAAGTATTTTCTTATAAGTAACTCATGAGTTCTAGTATCTGTAAAATGACTCACTAGAGAAGAATCATGATATCTTTTAATAAGTTCTATATATAGAAACTCATTTACAGATACATAAATTCAGTTCTCTCTTTATAAGAGATTATTTAAGTCTCTTCAATTCTTTATTTCTGCAGAGTTAGTCTCTGCTGTAAGCAGTTTCTGAATATACTGAGTATATTCATTCTTCAGTTGCAGTTCAGACAATCTGAATAGAAGATCTTGTGAAGACTTATACTCTATTTTCTCTTATATCAGATCTTTCACAGCACTTCTCAAAGTCTGTAAATTCTTCAGATTATAGATACTCTCTTCAAGAATTCTCATAGAGATTCTCAGAGTGTTGACTCTCAGTGTTATAGAGAGTAGTTATACAGACTTCTTTTCTTTCTTCTTTCTCTTCTCTTATAAGAGATTGAGAGACTCTTCAGTCAATCTCTTTATAATACTCAGTCTGAGTATTCTGTGAAGCTTTTCTGTCTTCTCTAGTCTCTCTGTATCTGTCATTCTGATCTTCTTAATATAGTCTGGTCTGTGAGAGAGTCTGTCTGCTGAGTTCTTAGTTTTCTTGATATATTCTATCTTGAATCAGAACTCACTCAGTCTTTGAGCTTAGTGAATCTATCACTGTGAGAGTTTCTTAATTGAAGTAAACTATTATAAGCTGTTATGATCAGTTCTAACAGTAATTACTATTACAAGGTTCTTAAAGTAGTAATATCAGTGACAGAAGAATTTCACTATTATAAGAAGCTTCTGATTATAAATGTCATAGTTGATCTTCACAGATTATATCTTCTATGAGAAAGAGACTACTGAAACTCAGTTCTCATTTAACTGTAGTTACAAGACTATTTCTGAAATTATAAAGAAGAAGATATCTGTCTTTAATCTGATTAAGAGTAAGAAATCAAAGTGAAACAGTATTACTGTATCTGTAAATATCTGTTTTAATCTTATAAAGACTCTGTGAGCTTCTGAGATAAGAAAGTTCTCACAGTTCTCTCTTCTTAACAATCTTTTTATTCTTCATTCATAGAATGATTTCTTCTTATTTTCATTCTTCAGCATGTCTGTAAGAGCTAAGAAGATTCTCATAAATACAAAGATAAATCATCTATAGAAATTCACAAAGCTCAGAAAGATCTGAATCTCATGAATAATAGTTAACTCTGATTATAATAGAATAGTCTCAATCTGTGAAGATTTCATCTGAATATCATCTGCAGTGATTATATATTCTAAGAAATTAATTCAATAGATACTGAAGTTATACTTTGTAAGCTTAACATACAGTTCTGTCTTATCTAAGGTCTTTAACATACTTCACACATGCTCAGTGTGTTCTTTCTTCTTCACAGAGTACACTATCATATTATTCAGATATATTATTACAAAGACATTCAGATATATACAAAGTGTTTTATTAATGAAAGACTGAAATACTATAGAGACATTAGTCAGATCAAAAGATATTGCTAAATATTCAAATAATTTCAGTGCAGTTCTAAAGACAGTCTTTCATTCATTTTCAGACTGTATTTACAGCTGTGTATATACATTAATTATATTCAGTTGTGTGAATATAATAGCTTCTGTGAAACAGTTAATTACATTCTTAATTAGAGACAGAGAATAGCAGCTCTTTATTATCTTGAAGTTCACATCACAGTAGTCTATACATAATCTGAGATCTTTATTCTTCTTCTTTATGAATATCACAGAGGCTTCTGCAGAGATCTGTGAAGATTAAATAAAATCATTCTTCAGATTCTTCTTTACATAGATTCATAAGACCTCTGTCTTATAATGAGAGAGTTTATAGATTAATTCTCAGAAGGGTTTCTGTTCTTCTACTAAATCTATTATCAGATTCTTCTCACAGTGAGAAAGAAGCTCAGCTGCCTTTACTAAGCTGAACATCTCTGTAAGATCTCAGTATTTCTCTGATATCTGAAGCTCAGTTTTCATGACTGCAAGATTCTCAGATACTTATAAAGTTATTATATAAATGAGCTTGTCTTCTCTAATCAACTCTGCAGTATTAACTGATTCTATCTCTGTAAGTGAGTCTGTTAACACTGATCAGAAGCATAAACCTGACTCATAGACAGCTATGTATAAATTATGTCTGAAGTTATACAAGTCTTAAGTCTGAGTGAGATGAATGAAGAAGTTCTGTTAATTCTTCATGCTCAGGCTAGACAACTACAGGAAGTGATCAAGTTCAAACTTGGAATTTCAAACACAGTTCAAAAAACTTTGAAAATTTCTAATACAATCACTGACTCTTCAGTTTGCTCTTCTTTCTTTTCTACTTCTTCTTCTTCTCCTTCTTTAAATCAGAAGAAAACATATGCTCAAGCAGCTGAATCTGCTGTCTCTAAACCTGCTGTCTCTAAACCTACTGTCTCAAAACCTGCTCAAAATTCTGAGAAAACTGAGAAGAATACTGCTCATGCCTCTATTCATAGAAAAGTGGAAAAGAAAATGCAAAAAGAGAAAAACTTCCAAATCTCCAGAAATAGAAGACTTATTCTCAAAGTCTCAAACCAGGACATTCTGCAAAGAAACAAGCTAAACTCAAATCTCATTTTCAGAATCAGAAATGAAATTAACCAGCAGTTCTTTTCTCAGTTAATGACTGATATTGAAGTTCAAAAACCAGTTATAGCTTCAATTGAACCATCATTCTTTGGAAACTCCATCATTCTGACTACAATGCCTGAATTCAGTGCTGAATTCCTTATTCAGAATGAGAATCTCTGAAAGTCAGCAGTAGAATCTTTGTTAAACACAACAATTCTATCTGAAAGAGATGAAAAGTGGGACAAATTCATTCTTCATGATATTCCAGTTGAAATTTTTGACTGTGAAGAAGGAATGCTACTTCTCAAAAATGAATTGGAAGAATACAACTCTATTCAACTGAGAAAGGAGCCTGTATGACTAAATTCAATTGAGTTCAGACAAAGCAGGAGAAATGCCTCTGTTCTAGTATATACAAAAACACTTGAACAGTCAAAGATCTCTGAAGTAAGAGTAGCAGGTTTGAAAATGAGAGTTCATGAATACAAAGACTCAAGGATGAACCTCAAAGCTCAAACACAGTGTTCAAACTGTCAAAGATATGAACACTTTGCAATCTCATGTTTTAGAGACTCAAAATGTGCATTCTGTGCCAGAGATCACAAAACTAGTGAGCATAAATGTGAAACATGCTTAAAAAGAGGTGAAATTTGTCAACACACTCTGCTTAAGTGCTCTAATTGCAAAGAAAAACATGCATCTAGCTCAAAAGAATGTATGTTTACTCCTAGAACTCAAAAGAACTGGAGAAAAGATGAAGCTCAAAGTCAATCTAGAACTGAAGAGAAGAGTCAAGCCAGTAAACTCACAACTACAAGCTCAAAAAGAAGAAACTCTCAACTATCTAAGTCTTCAAACTCCAACTCTCCAGCTAAATGTAAACAGAACTTGAATCCTCAAACTCCTGTTAAGATTAGAGAATTGAGAAATGACTCTGGTGATAAACTAGATATAATGCAAGCAGTTGAGATTCCTACTTTTCAGAACAGTTATAATCTACTATCTGATGATAGTGATTAGATTCTACTCTACTCTCTTTTAGTATGAATATACAACAAAAACAATAAAAAAAGTTTAAAAACTCTTCAAAAATCACATTTATTCAAAATAATGTGAATAGAAACTCAAATTGTATTTATTCTTGTCTTCAAATTGCATTTGAACAAAAAGTTGATTTTATACTGCTTCAGGAGCTGAATTTTGATGCTGAGCAAAAATATGTTATTTCTCATTCAAGCTACTACTGCTTTTTACCTCAAAAGTCTGAGATAAAGTCAAGAGTAGTGATCTATGGAAGAAAGAGATCAAGATATCAATTTAATCTAAGATTTGATATCATGTCTGACCCTGATATTCTGGTGGGTGATATTATAGATAAAGAAAATGAGTTTGATACTATACAGCTCATAAATATCTATAATGAAAAGTCATTGAAGGAAAATAACAATATCTGGACAATTGATAGAGGATTTCTGAACATAACTTCATCAAGAAACTCTATAATTGCAGGAGATTTCAATACACATCATCCCTGATGGAATTCAGAATGCAAGAGAGCAGTGAGAGCTGATAATCTGATTGAATGGACCTTTGAGCATTCAATAGATTTGGTTAATAAGTCTGATCAACAAACATTCTTTAGAAAAGGCATGAAACAGAAGTCTATTATAGATCTAACCTTCATGTCACAAAATCTAATGAAAAGAAGACTTGTAAACTGGTTTATTGATTCAAATGAGACATCAGGATCAGGTCATGAGATTATTCAATTTGATATTGAACTGAGTGAAAAACAAATGAGTGAAAATCCTCTTCTCTCTAATCAGTATAACTTTGAAAAAGCTGATTGGAAAGCAGTTGAAGAAAGCATAAAACTGCTAAAATCTGAAAGACAGAATGAGCTATATTGGAATTCTGGTCAAGATATCTCAAATGAAATGCTTGAGAATAGAGTGAAGCTTATTACATCTATTATTCTAACAAGTGTTAGAGATAATATTTCAAAAAGAAAATCTTCTGAGTATTCAAAACCTTGATGAAATGAGAATATCTCATCTAAAAGAAAAGAATTAGCTACTGCTAGAAGAGATTGGAAAAATGATGTAATATCTGATGAAGAGTTCAAAGCTGTCAGAAATGAATATTTTTCAGATATCAAAAGAGCTAAAACAGACTGCTGGAATAAATTTCTTGAAGAAGCACAAGGGAAGGAAATTTTTAAAGCTTTTAACTATACTAAAACAAGAAGTGTAGCAAAACTTCCAGCCTTAGAATATGAGTTTCAGAATGAATCATATACAGCAAACTCTTTTGAGGAAAAATGTCAAGCTTTCATGAGAATTCTCTTTCAGAACTCATCAGACTCAGATTCAGATTCAGAGAAAGAGAATATATCACTTCTCAACTACATTGATGAAAATGACTGAGAATGGCCTGATCTTACACAAGATGAATTAAAGTCAGCTATCTTCTCAAGTTCTGTTAAAACTGCTGCAGGTCCTGATTCAATTAATCACTTGATTATTCAAAATACATATTCCTACTTAAAGAATGAATATTTTGAGCTCTTTTTCAATCTCTTGAAAAATGAATATCATCCTGAATGCTGGAGAGAAGCCACTGAAGTGATTCTTGCAAAACCTAATAGAAAAACTTCAATTCCTAAGTCATATAGAGTAATATCTCTATTGAACTGTTTAGAAAAGGTTTTAGAAAAGATAATAGCTACTCAACTATCTTTTATAAGCTCTATAGATGATTCTCTTTTATTCAGTGAACAAATGAGAGGTAGAAAACAGTGTTCTGCAATTGACACTGTTCTCTCAGTTGTTCATGATATTCAAATAGCAAAGCATGAGAGTCTGGTCTCAACTGCAGTTTTTATTGATATAAAGAGAGCATTTGATTATGTTTCAAAGTCAAAGTTAATTCAGACATTGAAGATATTAAAACTGCCACTTTCTCTAATAAAATGAGTTAACTGTTTTATGTCTAAAAGAATTATACAACTCTTCTTTGATGGAATGAAATAAGACAAGACTGAGATAAAAATAGGAGTATCACAGGGATCTCCAATCTCACCCATTTTATTTGCAATATACACTGCATATCTATTCAAAAATAGAAATATGAGAATAGTGTGATCTCTGAGTTATGTGGATGATATTGGTCTAGTCTACAGCTCAAAAACTATCAAAGAGAATTTGAAAGTAATTGAAGAAGCTGCAAAGGAAATCTTTGTTAGAGCAGATATCAATCAAATTCAATTTGATATGGATAAAACTGAGTTAATTCATTTCTTTTCTAGACTCAATGAGAAAGAACTATCTCTAACTCTTTTAAATAGAGAGATTAAACCCAGTGTAAATGTCAAATGGTTAGGAGTATGGTTAAACTCCAAGTTGAATTTTAAATATCACATTCAACAAAGAACTGTCAAGGCAGAAAGACTATTGAACAACATAATCAGACTATCAAATACAGAGAGAGGTCTATTCTTTCAGGCTATGAGACAGTTATATATAGCCTGTATCACATCAGTAGCTGATTATGGAGTTCAAGTTTGGTGGAATAATCAAGGGAATTTCACTGAACTCTTTCAAAGTCTGCAAAACAGAGCCTTGAGAAGAATTCTGGGAGCATTCAAATCATCTTCTATTAAAGCAATGGAAATTGAAGCTTCAATTCCTCCTCCTGCTATTAGATTTGAAAAGGCCTGTATGAACTATGCTCTGAGAGTTGTAAAGATGAGCTCAAATCATATAATCAGAGAAAGAGTCTCTTCTTCATTTCCATCAATTAACTCTGGAAATGAACTGGATTGGAATAGATTTCTTGATTGGAATGAAAATAATTCTTCAAAGAAAATGCCTTCTCAACTGTACAGACTATGCTCTCTGATTAAAAATCAATTTTCTTCTTTAAATGTTGAAAAAGTTGATCATGAGAAGTTATCTTCCTGGAGAGAAAAGCTTGAATCTCTTATAGACTTACAAATAAGTGAACTATCAAAAGAGAAAGAATATGAACAGCATTTGAAGAGAATTTCTACAATCAATATAAAAGACTCTATTCTGGTTTATTCAGATGGCTCAAAAAATGAGAACTTGAATAGATTAGGCGCAGGCATTGCTTATACTGAAGATAATATTAATTTTATCTCAGATTTCTGGAATCTAGGCTCTGAATGTGAAGTCTTTGATGCTGAACTATTTGCAATAGTGAAAGCTTTCAAACTCATTGAAATAAAATCTCATAAAAGAGGAAATTGTTTGAAAGAGGCATGGATATTCTCTGATAGTCAAGCTGCTTTAAAAAGACTTAGAAATAGTCAGATTCATAATAGTCAAATGAATCTTGAACTGATCTTAAACTCTGTTTTGAAAATTCAAAAGAGAAGAATATCAAAGCTGATAATTCATTTACACTGGGTTCCTGCTCACATGAATATTCATGGTAATGAATTGGCTGATTCAGCTGCAAAAAAGGATGCAGAATTAAGCAGATCTATTCAAAAAATTGTGTCCTGGTCTTTTATAAAGAGAAAAATAAAAGAATCTTGTTTAGACAAGTGGAATGAAAGCTGGCAGAAACAAAAGAAGAGTATACATTATTCAAGATTTGAAACAAAACCCAAGTGGAAATCTTGTTCAATTAAATGTAAAAAGAAAATATTCTCATCTATAATACAGCTGAAACTAGGACATGGCTATTTCAAATCTTATATACAAAGATTTGATGATAGATTTGACTCAATAGAATGCTCATTCTGCAATACAAATGAGAATCCTGAGCATATTGTAATGCACTGTGCATTATACAATAGTCTCAGAGCCAGATTGAAAGAGAAGTATGATCTAAATCAATTAAATATGAGATTCTTATTCTCAACTGAGACAGGAATTAAATACTTAATAGACTTTCTATCAGAAACTCAAGCAGCTACAAGAAAATGGCTAAATTCAGAATTATCTGAGTATGAAGAGGAGGAAATAAATCAGATATAGTCTGTTAAAATAGCTATACACTCTCTTTTAATAATTTGTTTTGTTATAGTCTCTCTTTACTTTATCTTTTTCTTTATCTTTTTCTTTCAATTTCTTTCTATCTATTTATTTAATGTGTCTATCTTTGAGACTGTGTTCTTTTTCTCTTTTCTTTTGTCATGATATTGTCAAATG